GTCACAAGCCAATGCTTCCGTCTGGAGCCCCTGCACCCTGTGTTCGGGTTCTGCCCCAGGGTGCGCCGTCTGGAGATGGGGGCTGTGTGTGAGAGCTGTCCTCCACCTGTCTGCCCTTGCTCTGTGGTCAGAAGGTCAGTGCCGCTCAGCAGCACGCCGCCTGTTAGCAGTCTCCCCAGCTGGCCAGTGCTGGGGTCCCTGCTTCCTTCAGACGGGCCTTGGATCCGGCTTGGTGCTTGCTGCCTGGATGACCGTGGGCAGGTGGGCAGTGACCACCTCTTCTTGATTCTGCTCCTCCTGGCAGCCCTCTCCCCTCCCTTTCTCCTCTCCCACTCCCCTGCTCCACCCCCACCCCCAACCCCCATTGTCTGCCTTCCTGTTCTCCCTCTCCCAGGCAGCATCCGAACCAAACAAACTCCCAATCCCATCCCGATGCCTCTCACTGACTTCCATCCTTTGGAGGCCAGAGCAGCACTGCCCCTGTGGGGTTCCAGAGTTCCAAGGCTTCCAACCCCCCTTCTTTCAGTGCTTCACAGTGCACCCCCAGGGCGCCTCCCGCCTGCTCTTGGGCGTAAGAAGCTTCAGTTGGAGACTGAGATGTTGCAAAGCCTTTTATTGACGCCAAGTGAGCCACCCCAGTCAGGATGTTCCAGAAATGCCCAAGCTTCCCCTGCCCCCCTCTCCTTTCTGCATGGGCACTCTGCTGGGCAGGGATGGGGCTGGGCTCAGGGGAGGCCTGTGGTTGGGGATCATGGGGTGGGAAGGGAAGGGCCCTGGGTCAGTTTGGAGGGGAGGAGACACCGGGTTGGGGTTTAGGTGTGAGGAGGCTCTCGGATGACCCAAACTTCCCCCAGCTGAAGAGCATGTGCCCCCAGCCCCTGCTTCTCCTGTCCACCTCTCATCACCAAAGCAGACACTCCAAACAAAGGCTACATTGCTACAGGAGGCTCCAGCAGCCCTCCTCTGGGTCCCGGGCCCTGGGTGGCCCTGGGTGGGGTTGTGGCCTAACCCTGGAAGCCCAGCTCCTTGTACTTGGCTGCAATATCATTCCGGAACAGTTCCAGGGCTTTGCCCATGGCTCCCTGGGCATCCGCGCCAAAGTCCCCGCCATGCTTGCTCTTCAGAACCTGGATGATGGCTTCAGATATGAACTGTGGGGACAGGGAAGAGAAGGTGACTGGGGTGGGCCAAGCCAGGAGCAGACAGGCAGGTGGACACGTCCTCCCTCCCTCATTGAGCACTCACCCCCACCAGGACTGGTTCTCAGTGGTCTCCATGAGCTAACGAACTCCTCTCACCCCATAAGCCCTGAGACAGGCACTACTACAACCCTGATGTACGGATGGGGAAACTGAGGCATGGAGTGACTACGCTGTGAGTCCAAGACCATGGAGCCAGAAAGGGGCAGGGCTGGGATCTGAACCCAGCGTCCACACCTTTCCCACACCCTACCTCCTGGAGGTGAGCTGGACCAGCAACCAGGCTTGGGGATTATTGATCTGAGGCATTTGGGGAGGGGGCTTGCAGAATCAGGGAAATGCTTACCTGCCTTGATTTTACCAAGGATTTCCCACATAAAGTCTAGAAGACTACTTCCATTTGCATGTGTTTACGTTTCACCATGATCTCAATAACAGCACCCAATAAAATGATTTATTGAAGAAGTTTGTTGTAACGAAGGATTAGGTACGGTGGGAGAGTCTGGAATCTGAGGCACTTGGTATGTGTGAATAGAACAGAGTCAAAGGAACGCGGAGCCTGAACTCCATCTTAAAGTCCTGACAGGAGTCTAGAAGCTGCGCTGGATTTTAAAGCGGGCTTTGCTCAGCTGAAGGAGCCCCGAGGGGTAGGGCTTATGTGCTAGGCTGCAAACCCCAAGGTCCGTATTTCAAAGCCACCAGCCACGCCACCAGAGATGAGTAGAGCGTGTCTGTCTCAGAAACCTACAGGGGACAGTCCCCCTGTCCTCTAGGACCGCTGGGATTTGGCATCGCCTCGATGGCAGTGCGTTTGGTTTGGCTTCTTTCCAACAGCAGCCCCTGTGACCCGGATGCTGCCCTGGCCCCAGACCCTCAGGGGGACCTTGTCTTCCACTGCGGTCTGGCGGGTGCCAGACGTCCGTCACGGTCTGTCCCCAGAGGGACTTTCCTTTCCAGGCAAACTGATGCAAGATATGATAATGCGACCCCCAACAGTCATGATGCAGCTTATTGACCCATCTTTACAATGAACCCCCGAAACAGACCAGATCTAGAAAGTCATTTTTAACAGCAGGTGCCCAGAAAAACCTGTCCCGTGGTCCTGTAAACATCCAGTCATAAGCTCAGGAGTGGTCATGCCATCCCACTGCTGTTAGCCACCTGTCCCTGCTGAGTTATCTATCATCTATGGGTGCCCACTCTCCCTGGTGGAGAGCCCGCCTTCACCTCTCTGCCTGGCTTTCAGCCAGTGGGACGTTTGTAACTTTCAGTTCACACTCCAGCGACTGAAAACTGTTTTCCCCTCGCTGTCCGGTGGGCGGTGCTGCCATCTTCACCCTGAGCCTGGACGTCTTCCCTGTCTCTGGACTTTGGCAGAGAGGGGTTTCCCCCAAAAGGACAGCTGGGTGATTGCCCTGGGGCGGTCATGGGTTTTCTGGCGCCAGCTCAGAAACCGTGGTGGCAGGGAAAGAGAGGAAGAGGAAGGGGCAAGGCATGGGCCCCCAGGAACGACGACCCCTGTCATCAGTGTGCCCACCTGACCCCCACGAATGCCCGAAATCCCATCACCAGGAACATGGAGCTAGGAAATAGAGGCCACGGGAAGACCCCGTGGGTCTACAGTTGCTGGACTGTTTTTGTCCCTGGAGGGCCCAGCGGGGAAGTCCTCAAGGAATGGCCAGAAACTTGGCAGTTCGAACCCACCAAGAGGCACCAGGGAAGGCAGCCCTGGCGACCTGCTCCCCAAAAGAATGACCGCAGCCTTGGCAACTCAAAGGAGCGGTTGCACTCACACCCCGGGGGTCGCCATGAGTGGGGGGTCGACTTGAGGGGCACTGACCCCAGCCACCAGCCACCGCTGTATACCATGAGGATGTAGAAAGGAAGAGAGCCCGTTTCTGCTCTTGGGGTGCTGTGCAGAGAGAAACTGCAATACCACCCAGGCAGCACTAAGGGGCGCCATCAGATGGAGGGCTGACCGCCTGGCAGGCCCTGGAGCAGGAAGAGTGGGGGGACTGGAGGGTGGACAGGATGGACCAGAGAAGGCCCGGGAGGGGGTGAGGGGGTGGTGGCCAGGGACCACAGCTGCAGACTCTGTGGCAGGCCGGGCTCCAGACAGCAGGGCGTCCAGTGCCACTGGGTGGGTTGGGCAGGCCCTGCAGGGAAGTGAGGCTAAAGAGGGTGGTGGTGGTGGATGGGGCATGCTGAGTCGTGGTGGCCAGGGACCACAGCTGCAGACTCTGCAGCAGGCCGGGCTCCAGACAGCAGGGCGTCCAGTGCCACTGGGTGGGCTGGGCAGGCCCTGCAGGGAAGTGAGGCTAAAGAGGGTGGTGGTGGTGGATGGGGCATGCTGAGTCGTCGGGGCCCAGGTTCCAGGGTGTTGTAAATCTGATTGCTTCTTGGTGTGTGCGCTCTGTGACCTTGCACACGTTGGGTAACCTCTCGGGGGCCCTTGTTTCCAAACCTGCACCATGGGGACGAGCATGAGACCTGCCCAGACACAGACCGCGACCTGCCTGCCGAGTCTCTGTTGTCCGTTGTTAACAGAACCCTGGCTGTCTTCAGGTGACAACGGACTGTGTTTCTCAGGTTCCCACGCAGATAGACAAAGCCTGGTAACAGGCACTGGTCCCGGAGGTGCAAACAGAACAAAATGGATGACGCGTGTGGACCAATCCCTTAAAGAGAGCCTTCCTCTCCCCCCGCCACTTCCTGGTTGGAAATAGGACCAGATGGCAGGAGTTCCCACGGCCATCTTGGGCCACGAGGCGACCTTGAGCATGACCATGCTATACTAAGTACAGAGAGAAGAAGCCGGCGTCTCTGGTTTTATCTAGGACCTTAAATTCAGCATCCTCTAGCCTCCTCTCCACTCCCCTCCACCCCCCGCCGCTTTTGGCCCACCTCAGGAGGTTTCAGCCCATTTTGTGCCCCTGGGAGGGCTTAGTTCTTCACCTATGAAGCCTTAGAACCAATCAAGTCACTGTCTGTCTCTCTCTCTCTCTCTCTCTCTCTCTCTCTCTCTCCCTCACACACACACACACACTGAAGACTGAAGAATGGAGCAGGAGTCATGACATCGCTGCCGTGTGTGTCTCTTGAGTGTCTCAGACTCTCAGTCCCCCAGGACTGTGGCGCTGGGCTTCTGGAGTCAGGGACCTGAGCTGGCACCCCAACTCTGCCCTTGGCTTCCCTGAGACCACGGGCAAGTCACGGCACTGATCTGAGCCTCCTTGTCTTCCTCTGTCCAGGGAGAAGCGGTGTGCCCAGGGGCCACTCTCCCTTCTTCCTTGGTGACCAGGGGCCCCAGGAGGAAAGCAGAGTGGGTGATCACCCCACTTTACAGATGATAAAACTGGGGCACAGAGGAAGGGAAAGCAAGGTAGCGACTGAGCTAGGGCTCAAACCTAGACACGCCCCCCCCCACCCCCGCCAGCTCCTCTCAGGCATGCCCGGCTCTGGCGTCCTACCTCCAGGTACTTGACGGGGATCTTGTGCTTGGTGGCATGAGACTGGGCCAGGGGCTTCAGCTCCGCCTCGTGCTGCCCCTTCTTCTTGAGGATGCCCCCCAGCGCGGTCAGCACCGTGGTGCCGTGCTTCTTCAAGTCCTCAGACGCCTTCATCTCATCCTCCGACTTCAGGTGCTTGAACTTGTCGAACTTCTCCAGGGTCTCGGGGTGACCCTTGAAGAGCCTGTGGGTAAGCAGCCTGCGGTCAGGGGCTGGGAGGGAGGCAGAGGATGGAGGACTCGGTGTACGCCGAGCGTCAGTCTCAC